CCTATAGATAATTATAGTGAACAAAATTAACCAAATTGATGTAGGGAGTTTTTAGAAGTGTTAGTACAGAAAAATCACTCTTGATCAGCTGTGTTGGTTGGAATCAGTATTTTTATCCCATTATGATCAGTGAGGAACAGCAGAAAGGCACCACAAAATATGTGCTGTCTATAGCTGTCTCTGTCTTGATTATTGTGATATATCATGCAGCTGTTAAAAAAAATAAAATCATCCCCTCAGAAAGGATCTCCAGTTACTGCTTATGCTGAGATTTTTTTTTCCTCCTTGGGTAAAGATCAGGATTAAGGAAAAGTGACCTTTATCCTCACAAAAGTGCTGAAATATGGTGTGACTAAGAACTGGCTGGGTTATACAACATTACATTAACTACATTTTTGTGTCTGTGAAAATGACATCAAGGACAAACAGTCACAGAATAAGATAGAGGGACTTTGAGTCCTTCACTTTGAGTAAAATAAATTTTATTTAGAGTTGTTTCATCAACAGACTTCCAGAATAGTCATAATTGAAGTTGCATGTAACAGTATGTTTCAGACTTGGCACATGAAGACTTTCCTGCTAGTAGAAGGTTTATTGATATATTTTTAAATTACCTCAACTCTTTAGGAAGTCTCAGGAAACCATAGGAAGAGTGTTCAAGTTCCAGTCTGGTTTGGGAGTACATGTATTAAATGGTCTTCTGTCATGGAAGAGTCAGTATTCACGTCGCATAAGCTATTATCAAACAGATGCTTATATGCTTTAATGTGTAGATCGTTTGTATATTGTGCATTGATATAGCTGCCTGACAGCGTTACACCTTCTCCATTTGATTTCCTTCAGAAATTGATTTGAGTTGACAGGCATGTAAATAAGAAGTACTATACTGAGGAACTTTAAAAAATGACACTTTAAAAGGGAATTAGGAAATAAAGAGCAATATACATTAAGTAATCCTAAGCTTCAACCTAAAATGACCACATATGTAACGTTACACTTAGTAGGAATTACTACTCCGATATGTGACATGTATTTCTCCTCTCTGCTTCAGTACTGGTAAGTCCTTACGGCTTAAATGGCACGCTAACAGGCCAAGCATACAAGATGTCAGACCCAGCCACCCGTAAGTTGATCGAAGAATGGCAGTATTTCTACCCAATGGTGCTGAAAAAGAAAGAAGAATTGAAAGAGGAGGAGGAGTTGGGATATGACGATGATTTCCCTGTGGCAGTAGAAGTAATTGTTGGTAAGAGAAAATATTTTGCCTGAAGAACTTTATTCTATCTTCTTCATCTTCCTTAATTTAAAAAGATAATCTTCAGATTCATCAAAATTTCCCCATCTTTTTGTATTCTCTTGACACAGTGGTATTTGCTGAGTAGTTATCTTGCCTGAAGCACCAATGGTCCCTGTATTCCAAATGCTATTATGATAATGTTGAAACACATGTTGAAATAGCAATTAACTTATGAGAGCACGAAACCTATCGCTGTCACTTTTGGCAGCACCTAATGAGCGTCTCCTTTCACCGTTGAGATTTGACTTGACCACTGGAACAATGTATCTGGCAGTCTAGTGTGAACTTTTTCTCAGGCCTGTTCCTCTTCCTCTCTTTCCTCACAGGTGGTGTTCGGATGGTTTATCCTTCAGCTTTTGTTTTGATCTCTCAGAACGACATCCCAGTTCCTCAGAATGTTGCCGGTACTGGAGGTCATATTACAGTCGGGCAGCAGGGCCTTGGTAGTGTGAAGGACCCAAGTAACTGTGGGATGCCTCTTACCCCTCCCACGTCTCCCGAACAGGCTGTCATAGGTGAGTACAATCCAGGAATGTCCTGGGTGGAAGAGATCCCAGAAAACCATGTTCCCTTTGCCATGAAACAGGTGAGGAAACTCACACTGAGAAATTTCTGGTAGAAGAGGTGGAGGTAGAATAACATGGGGGTTTTACAAAATGGAGAAGTGAAATTGTAAACGGAATTGATGTGCTTCAGAATTTTCATTGTGCCCATATTAGTTACTCCGGTTAAACAGTTTATCTGTTTTCTTCTGAGTTCCACACACACATCTGCCCCTTCATACTGATGTGCACGCTTGCATTCACAGACAGGAGGCAAGATGTGAGTTGCACTTTTTTTTTCAATCAGATGGAAAACACTAAATGAGAGAATGGTTGAAGCCTTTCCCCAGTTGACTGTTGCCAGCCAGGGACAAGTCTTGGATGAATTCTTTCCTTATTATATTACAAAGTTAGTCTAACAATAAGAAGCTCTGAATAAATGCTTTGTCCTTTCAATAATCTGTCCATATTAATGACATATTAACTACATTTGAAAATTTTGTCAATTTAGACAGTCTTCCTTCATGGAAAAATTCAAAATATTTAAATTGGGAGGATTTTGCCTTCTTTGTTGAGTAGTATATATCCTATATTAACTTTTTTGTTGTTGTAGCTGACTTCATTTTAATTGAAAATCTAGTCACTAAGAAAAGGATATTCATCATACTTGCACTGAAATGAGATTATTTGTAGGTATTTAATGTGGGCCATGTTGGCAGTAGCATCAGAATAAAGTCTTGGCTGCAAAACTTTGGAAACAGACTATCAAGCGTGATATATGCTTACATGGTAATTTTCCTGAGGATTAGATGAAACAGTGTTGCAAAGTTTCTAGCTTAGTGCTTGGCATGTAGTGGGTCTTCGATAAATGTTCATGGTTAAACACTATATTGGGGAAAAGTATTACCTTTGTGATTGAACACACCTAATTTTAAAACCTAGCTATAGATTTTACTAGGTGGGTTACCTTATTTAATTGTTACACCTGTTCTGAAAATCAGTTTCCTTCTCTGTTAAATACTATATAGTTTACAGGATTGTCACACTTACCTGATCACGTACTTTGTGCTCTATAAACAGTAAAGCAGAATACAAGCAGTAGTGTAAAACCTTAAAGCAGCGCTCGGAAGTCCAGTTTTAGCACACAGTATTGAGTTATCTGGAAGGAATTACTCAGATATTGTGTGGAGGACATGAATGGATATACCGCGTAGCCTCTAGAGGTAGTCTAGAATGACCAGTATTTAGAAAAGTATTTTCTCATGTTTCATGTCAAAGTTTGGATTTGTAACAGTTACACTGCATCCATTTAGTTGAGTTTGTTGTTTAACAATTAAATCACAAAAACATCAGGTTTTGTTTGTTTATATTTGTTTTTGTTTTGCCTGATACATAGTGAAATTTCTGTTCAACTTAAAATTGAAGGCCTGGTGTGTGCATGATGCCTTGACTTCTCATCAGTTCAGAACTCTAAATTTTATAATGCAAAGAAAAACAGTTTTGTTGTGGTGGATTTCAGTGTGGACTTCATCACTACAGTCTTCACGTTTACTCCCCTTTAACTGTGTGTGCCATGGTGTTAAGCCTTGGGTAAATAGATCTCTTGATGCCTCCTCACTCCCCAAAACAAACAAAAAAAAGCTAAATAAAAGCAACTAGTATCTTTGTCATAAAATGAATTTGTCCAAATTGTCCACCATAATAATGTTGAATTACAGCTTAGGACTCCTAATGTTCTAACAGCGAGAATCCTGCACAGCCCTGTCATTCTCCATTTGACTAATGTTGACAATAGCCATCTTTTCCTAGAAATAGATAGAGTGGGTTAGTTTGCCCCCTAAAATGACCAATAGTCTCCTAGAGTAGCAGGAGACCTAGGCGGGCCAAATGGTTCTGCCTCATGTGAATAGGTACGTCAGCTCGCCTCTTCTGTTTGTGGAGATAATTGTGAGAAACAGCATGGAGTGCAAGTCTCATTTAATTCCACGTAAGACATCACTCACATTTTAGTTAAAACATCAAAAGGAAAAGCATTAATCCAACTTGAATCAGAAAAGATTCTGTGACTTGCTTTCCCCATGCCCTCCCCTGTTTTTGTTTTTCATAATTATTGTGTTTGGGGGCAAAGGGCTATGTTACCTACTTCTCTTTGTTTCTTCACTTTGCCTCATTTTATAATAGACATTTGAAAATCCATTGTAAAATTGAATTACTTTGCATCATGAAACAAATCAGGGAACTTTAAAGATAAAAGGCAGCAATGAAAGACCAAATTCCTTGTCTCCATAATTTATCTCATTTGTAATATATCAGTACTTTTCTGGGGAACAAAGAAATCTTCAGTTCCTCAGAATGTAAGCATTTAGGGTTTTTTTTTCTTTTTTAAAAAAATAGAGTTGAGCCTACCGTTTAACTTATATGATGGTTAGTCTGCAGTGATACCAAGAATATTAGTTTGTGATATAAATTTGCTTCTTTCTTTTCCAGATGAGAGTGGAGGCTTTCAGAATGCTCAGAAGTATTTCAGTCAAGATATTTTGCGTTGTAGTTATGTCAAGAATAAAATAATATGTTTATGAAATCAAATAGATTAAAGTAATTGGATCAGAATTTGAAACTGGAAATTGGCTTCAGTATTTGTCTCGTATGAGATGGAAGTAAAAGTAAAATGCTCATAACTAATAACCAGTATTATCAGCAATTATAGTGGACATAGTAGAAAATGGATTGCATACCAAGTACAGTTGGAAAAACTAAGGGAGGTGTTAGAAACCAGTGAATTTTTAATCCTCTGGTATAAAATGTTGAGTCCACCTCTTGCAGTGTTTTAGTACTAAGCTTTCATAGTGTCAGGCATAAGGACAAACAGTTCCACACACAAATTCGAAAATTGACCTTGTTAAAAAGCTTTGTGCCATTAAATTCTTCATCCTACCCAGAGCACTGTGTGCAGTTGTTACACAGCCATTTAGCTACATGAGCTCAAGGCTCCCTCTGCTGTTTTGTTCTGCCTCAAAACTTATTTATTTCATTGGGATTTAAAAATGGAAACAATCCATGCATGTTTATATCTTTAATATTGTCATGTTTGAACCCTCCCATATAAGTTGTCTCTAGTACCTGTGGAGTAGGAATGCCTCTGGATTGGTATGCCCTTGAGGGTATGTGAGTGTGTGAATATTCATGTGCTCGAAAGCTGTACTGATGCTTCAGAGAGTGTTATTGTCACAGGTAGTAGCAAAGCTACATGATGAGTTTCAGCAATTAAAATATTTATGTTAAATAAGTCAGCAGTCTATCCACTAGAAGACCTTTCCAGGAAGTTCTGACATTCCAAATTGTCTTTCTTTCCCAGGTGAGAGTGGAGGTACTCAGACTGCTGTCAGTCACCTAGGCTCCCAAGACGGGGGGATGATAACTATGCACAGTCCAAAGAGATCGGGGAAGATTCCTCCAAAACTCCACAATCATATGGTCCATCGAGTCTGGAAGGAATGCATCCTCAGCAGAACCCAGTCCAAGTATGTTTTTTGCATTATGTCTGGATTGGGTTTAGTAACTACATGAAGAGGATCAATCACATTGTACTGTTGTGTGATCAAACCCTGAGGGGTCGTTGGATTGTTCTCTCATCTTTTTGAACGTAATAGAATCAGATTCACAACAGAGATTTTGAAATGATTTGATTATCCAGGAAAATTTTGAAGTTCCTGATCATCTCAAGATTGTCATGGTGTTCATCTGACCTTTGTTTTTTTTGGGGTTTTTTTTCGCACAAGTGAATCAGGGATTTACCCTGAGTATCAGGACAATAATTGTGGGTTTGATTTTTCCCTGTATACCAGTCGATGAATTTCCTGTTTACAGAGGGAAATGCCCTTCTTTGTCATGTTTTTTTACTATACGTTGGCCTTACACTTTACTTGACAATACATTTCTAAACTGAACTGATGACAGTTAGCGGAGTATTTAGTAGCTATTGTGCTTCTGTTTGTTGATCTGGGGGAAATTTTTTTCTTCCCCTGCCCAACTTCCCTTCCTTCCCTTCCTTGCCCTGAACCCCTCCCCACTACCCCCTCCCACCCACCTCCCTCCTTCGTCTCTTAAAAAAGAGGAGGAATTGATTCCAAGAAGAGACTATTGGTGATTATTTTAATTGGGTGAGTGATAATGACAACAGCAGTTAGTAAATTCTGTTTTACTTACCAAGATTTATGTAAACAAATTCAACATATTCGCATCTGTTTTGATATGACTGAGATGTCCACCTTCTTGACTGATACAAGTAAACCTATGAGTCTTGACTCTCTAGAGCAGAATAAAATGGATATTCTTATCAGCAACTCTTAAGAACTCTTTTAGAAGTCAATTATATGTTTCTTAAGTGACTACTATTCAAAATTTTAAATACAGATTTAAAACTTTTCCTTTGGACCTCGCTTTTAGCAAATTCATACTATATATATATTTCCTAATTAACTGGCTCAAGAATAGGCTACTAAAGAAGATATAGTAGAAGAGAATCTAAAATAATTGCAATTAAAAACCATGTCACGTTCTAGAATTTAAAAGGTATCTCTAGTCACATAAAAACAACCCTTTCCTTTAGAATGATTGGTACAGCTATTTTCATTTCCACCTGCAATGCCTGGACAGTATCCAGACTAACATTTTTTTCCCTTTTCCTTTGATTTACCATCTTTGATTTTTATCCCCACTAACCTTGCCACCATCACCAGATCAGAGCCCTTTTGTCAGCAGCACAGAACAGGGAAGCGAGACACCCAGAAAGATAGAGGAGGATGGAGAGCAAGTGAAGTCCCTGCACAGCCATCAGTGAAACACTCTGCAGCATCAGCTGTAGCAAAATCAGCAGGACAGAAGTGCTGCCGAGTGTTCTTATTTGTGCAGTAACAGTCATCTGCTTTTGCCACCCATTATTAGTGACATACAGAAGATATTTTTGATTCTTGTCTTTCAGTTCACAAATGTGGAGTCCTACCCCTAAATGCTAGTAAATATAGGCATTTTAAGAGTGATTTAAACAGTCTATTGGAGGGCAAATGATTCACAGATACTGTGAAAAGATAATTTTAAAAATTTTAGGTTATTTCTACAGACTTCATTCAGGTGACTTAAAAATAAAAACAGCTAATACTGGTAGATAGTGTTTTAATTAGTGTGTGTACCACCCGTGTTAAAAGTGCTTCTTCTAGTGCATGCAAGTAGTAGTTTGCCCCCCACCCCCGGGCCCCGCCACACACACACACCTGGAGTTCCTCTGAACTGTCTGTCAGCAGGATACGTTACTGTGTAAAATGTATGTATGTCTTTTAAATATTTTCCCCTCAGAGGTATGAATGTTACATTTACACAAGCCTCGTTTTTTAACCTTTTTTAGGAGGAGCCAAATGTCAACTCCAACTCTTGAAGAAGAACCTGCTAACAATCCTGCTACTTGGGATTTTGTGGATCCAACCCAAAGAGTCAGCTGTTCTTGCTCTAGGTAGGTAGTGGCCCAGGCAGAATGGCAGTCAGGTAGAATGATAGAACATTTTGTTGGCTGTCTCCTGGCCTCTCAGATCACTTCCATATCATTTAGTTTTGTTTTGTTTTAGATTTTCTTCTCCCTTCAGTAGAGGGGAATAAAAGCTTGCTCTTTCCTTATGTGCAGATGATATAGTTTTATTGTCAGGACTCAGAATAAGCCTTTTTAGACAACTGGCCCTGTTATGAAACTGCTCCCACTGATTTCTTCAAGATAACTACTTTAATGCTAAAGGCATCAGTTTGACAAAATAGTCTCTTGCCATTTCAATGAGTTTATTTAATTACTCTTAATTTTAAAATAGGGATAAGTATCAAACAAGCTGGCCTGAGTTAATAGAATTTAGATTAAGTAGACCCTTCCATGGAAAATTTGTTTAATTGTTGGTGTTGGTGTCTTTTGATGACTGAAGCAGGTAGATGGTAATAATGCGTGCCAAAAGCTAAAATTGTTGCTCATTCATTTAGATATTTGAGTTGAAACCCAAATTGTCTTCCATAGAAAATTTTTGCACTCCTCACTTAGATTCCCTTGACTTGCTCCTTGTGATAGTAAAGAATCTTACTGTCACAGATTTTCATTAGGGTTCTTAAATTTTTCAAGTGTACACCAGCCTTACCCCCAGTTCAACTGACTGTTAGAGCCTGTGGTGATGATTATTCACTTAATGAGCAGCTTAGAAAAGTTCTGCTTCCATTTGATACTGCTCAGTAATTTAAAAAATTGAGATACATGTATCTAGAAAATGGTCATTCACATCTCTGATTTAGATCAGCGGGTTCTTAATGTGGCATAAATGAATTGGTTTCAGGGTAGGAGACTGTGCCCCTGAGAATCCCTGCAAGTGTGTGTGTGTACACTTAGGTGACAGTTTGACACCTGCTTCCTGTCCCCCACCCCCGCTTCCCAGTAAATTTATTCTCTTTTATCAAGCTCTGCCTTGGTAGTCAGCTTTTTGTTGAGAGATGCTGTAAGTACCTAATGAAACTCTTGATTGATCTTTCAAGGAGGATGTTTTTGACAATGTTATTTGCTCATTAAAGTTTCTCTGAGCATGTGAGAGTTTTTCTCTAGTCTCAGGATAAGTGTGGTATAACAGCTGAACACATGGTTTGCTTTTGTCTCTAGACCATTGTAAATTCTGTGACAAAAACTATTTTCCTATTAATATTGATTTCTAAACAGCTTACAACTGTTAAGGGAGTACATAGGATAAAAATTTGAGTATTTAACTTCACTTGTGTCATCTTATTTTACCTGCTCTTTTCCTTAATCTAGGTTTTTTTTCACTTAAAAAAAAACCTTTAACTGATTTCTGTTTCATTTGCTACTTGAATTATTTTTACCTGAAGTGTAAATAAATAAATAACACTTTTTCTTTTGTCCTCTAGAGTTATTGCTCTATTTCCTCATGAAATTCTTAGAGCCTTCAGGTCTTTTTTGTAGCTATGCCTTCCATTCCATTGACTTGTAAATATTTATCTCTAGACCTGACCTCTCACATGTACTTTACAGTCTTGTATTCTGGGGAGTGCTTTTAAAATATATTCTTAATATTGACATATTTGTTTCCTGACAAACCAGGTACCCTACTGCAGTCATTTTGTCACAGTTTTTCCCTTCTCAGCCTAGAAACTATCATTTTAATTTTTTTCTTAATTTTCTAGATCAGTTATATCATTGTATATCATGGTGGCTTCCTTTGAAATGTCTGTCATTCTGCCTTCCTCATCCGTTTGGTCACCATGTGTTTCTACACTATTTGGGCCTGCTTCTGTTTCCTTCCCACCAACCAGCCTCCCATATAATTAGCCTTCTGAGCCTGATCTGCCTGTT